TCTAACTTGTGTGTGGTAGGTATGACGAGATCAATAGCAATTTGCCGGCTGAAACTACTCTAACAGTTCGTTGCAAATATAAGAACAATGATCTCGGAATCTATGACATAACGCGCAGTTGGGATTCACATTCAAAGCCAATATCTTTCGGGGGACACTGTTCTTTTGAAGCTTTGCATGGTAGGTCAATTTGAGTGGCTTAGTATACTTGAGCAAAGCAGGGATTGGCATGATTCCAACTCATGTATTTGGAGGATCTCGTCCAATGATAGGCTCGGTGATTGAGAGTTTGATGTTTGTTATCCATGAAATGGGAAGAAACCTCTTACGTGAAACTCGTGTCGCCGAGCCTCACATCAAACTCTCTGGAGTCAGTGAGCCTACAAGGACCATTGGGCGTGATCCTCTAATGACACAAGTTGCAATCATGCGAGTCCCTGCTCTACTTATATATATTAAACCGATGCAAAACCGAAAAAGAATAACGCCCCCCAACGAAATTGGGTGTGAATGCGAATTCCCAGCTGTGCGTTATATCAAAATTTCTGATATCGTTGTTCATGGATTTGCAATGAACCATCAGAGTCGTTCCAGCCGACAAATTATTATTGATCTCAACATACGTCTTGCCCGTAGGATCTCGCCAGCTTTGCCATGGCCATGTGGAAAAGGAGAAGGTGACCGTACCATGATTTGTCCAGCAATAACGGGTGTTTTTTCACCCCACATGCCCAAAAACATCCACTAATATTCTTGGTTGATGACTAGGCGGCGGACTGTTTGGTTGATAATAGAAGGAGTTGTTTGTGTGGGGGCAAAAGTCCTAAAAACTTTCGGTCACATAGATATTAACAGGGTAAAATTTTTTACTCCATCACAAATTTATAGGAAAATTTATAATTAGTTAACATGAACCTTAGAATTTGATTACCCAATAACTAAATTTAAAAACTTTTATTAGAGTTCGACCGAAGAGATCATGGGCCTCCTCCTCGGCGACGTCGAGGTGAACTCTCCTGATTCAAGAGCCGCTCTTGTCTTCGTGCTTCCGCATTCTTTACTTGTCTCCCTTTCCTTTTCCCCGCAACCGATTCGCGTGTAGCAGAAATGGGTCGATGACGCGCGGTGCTGATTTCTGGTTGGACGATGAGCGAAGTGGAAATAGGATTCCGCGCGGTGTTGAGGTCGCTCTGTCTCAGAGGCGGTGGGTTTGCGGTGAATTGGCAACCTTGTTTGAGCTAGGTCGATGACGTTCGGATTTTGGGGTTCTGTCTTTTGCTATTTGGATGAATATTTTCGTGCCGCGTTTCGAGTAATAACTCTGTCTATGGATGCAGGGCAATAGGCGATTATCTGTGAAAACGTTCTTTTTTCTCCCCCATTTTCGCTCTCTCGTTAAGTTCCTACTTTGGAAGAATTGCTAGCTTGCAAGATTGTATGTCAGTTAGTGTGCTCACTTCAATGTTAGTTCATATTCGGATGAACTGGAAAACTGACGAATGAGGCCATATTCTGCTTCGACCGCCATAATTTCCTTTCAATCTAATTTTCATCTAGAATATCGTGGCTTTCTTTTCTTTATCTCGGCAGTCGTATGGGATTACATGCATTGCTGGAGGCTGGAGTTAAGGTGTTCGTACCTAAACTCGGTTGTGAAGGCAAAAGTAAAAAAAATAAAAGAAAAGCCCAAACTTGTATATGCAGTGATGTTTTGATATTGTCAAGAATATCTCTGTTTTGAAGAAGTTAATGAAACCTTGTGTGTCATTCTGAGAAGTGCTTGGCATCAAGTGCACGAGGGACAACGCATCAACTCTTTGGCTGTGGGAAATGCTATTGAATAGTATATCATGGAATTGAGGTCAGTTAAGTCATGAGAATAGCGAACTTGGTAATTTGACCTCTTACACGAAGCAGACCTGTGCGAACTGGTTCCTTTTGGGGGCTCGGGATGCATTTTGATAATGATACTCCTATTGCACTTTACAAGAAAAAATGATTCAACACATAATAACAGATGACTCATATTGTAGCACCAGAACATTTTCCTTTAGCTTTTGTAGTTCTGTGATGGATTAGTGTGTAGACGACATGCAAAATCGGCACTTAGTTGGGTCTAAATATCAGATTGACCTGTTCATTCCTGGAAAGGGGCTTAGTTGCTTGAAGGTGTCAATGTCTATACATTTTTTACTCATTGTTTAGCCTCATCTATTCCTTGTTTTCTTTGGTTGCTTTCTGTGGTCAAATTGACATTCGGTCGACCTGGAATAACGCTCGGTAATTCTCTGTTATTTGGAGATCCTTATCATTTTCATTTTTGGCCCCGGGATTTGAAGGTGACAACATGTGGTCAGCCACGGTCAGCTAACTGTAGTTAAGTGAAGCCTCTTACGTAGGTCGGGTTGCCATGGATTCATTGGGGGATAAATGGGGTTCTCGATTTTATTTTATTTTATTTTATTTATTTTCAAAACTCGTAAAGCAGCTATAACTGAGTGTTGCACTGAAATTTAGATATATCTAGGAGAACCGGTCGTTTATCTCCTTGCTTTGGTGCAAGAATAGACCATATTTAGCTGATCTACAGCTTAGAATGAAATTCCATGTGCATTCTTCTTACCATTCCATATTCTTTTGGTTTTACTAGAATTATTATGATAGTTTGTTTCTTATGTTGCAGCACTCAAAAAAGGGGACTATCACAGCACTAATTTGGGGTGCATCGCCTCAAAAAACGATATGACCGGCAAAAAGATCGTGTTGAGACAAATCCCAAACAGTTGGCTGCTGCATCGGCGGTGGCTGAAATATTCTTTCTGTTTCCTTACTCGTTCATCAACCCCTTTAAAGCCTTCATCTCTTGAGCTCAACATTAATTTGCCTATATAGATTTCATATTCTGTAATGAACAAAAATTGCATGAGTTTCTTCATCAGTCTTCTTGTTTTAGCAGGTCATAAGATGTATCATCATGTTTTTTTTCTGTTGTTGTTTTTGGCAACATTTTTGTGACTTTTATGGCTAGATTGTAAAAAGATTTGAGAAGGTACGTGTTTCTGATGGTTAAATTTGTTGATTTGATTCCATCTAAGGGAGCTTTTGCTCTCAACTTACTAAAAATATCAATACCCTATATAAATCACATAATCGGAACAATGGGGATGTATGCAAGTCTACCAAAGGAGGAAGTCTAACGTGGCAATTTTTTTATCAACATAGTTTGCTTTCAACAAGCTGAATCTGCTGTAGTTGATTCTAATTAAAAGGACCAAAAACTGTTTCTTGCACATTATGCTATGGTAATTTAAAATATACAAATTTAATTATTACTCGCTATCGCACATTGCTAGCTGCTTGTTTGGATCTTGCCAATCATGTTCTTGGTTAACTAGACTAGACAGCACGAGATGACCATGTCAACGGGAAGAAGAACAAGAGTAATTGGATGGTACCATTCGCACCCACATGTAACGGTTCTACCGTCCCATGTTGGTAAGCATTGCGAATCGCTACTTTTTGTGGAGTAAATTAATAATGAAATGCACATCAAGCATGAGATATTATTTCTATTAGGACAAAGCATTGGCACCTCTCTATATTGCTGCACCAGGGCCTCACCACGTTTCACTAGTTTATGATTTACTTTACTTGATTCGGGAATTGAATGAGGCCGTTTTCATTCAAACTTGATAGCGTTTTCTCAGGTTTTTTCCAAAGATGGTTTTTGAGTGCTACTTTGTGCAGATGTACGGACACATGCAATGTATCAACTCCTAGATTATGGATTCATTGGGTTGATATTTTCCTGCTTTAGCTAGGATATTAACAAGGTATGTGGACTCTTTAAGTTTCCCTCAACACGTTTTGCAGCTTTCAAATCGGTTAAACAGTTCATGTGATAAATAGGTTGTGGATAGTTTAAAGCAATTTGACTGCAATGTTATGGGTTTTCAGGTTGGGAGAATTCAAGTCATAGCTTTCCAATCTTCAGATGGGAAGCAAAACCAGATATCAAGACCTATCCCTCTATCTCCGGTTAATAGAAGTTCGGTCATAGACTTGGAATCATCTTTGAGTTCCTCCGAGAATTTGTTGGCACGATCTAACTCTGGAAGGGGGGAGAACCCCGAAGTGGACACTGGCGATTCCAGAATCTCTGCTGGAGCTAATAAGGTGGGTTACAATTTAACGTAAAGCCAACAGGATTGGAGTCGAGGAACTGTAAGGCAGTCACCTCATTAGATTGTGGTCTATCAATTATTCTATCTAATGGTAGTTTATGGTAACATAGCTTGATGAATGATATTTCGTATGAACTTCTAGGGGCGGGGAAGGTCATCGGACTTGGGGGGTTTCTTTGCTGACGCTGATACCAATTATCTCGGAAGAGAGATAATTGGTGAAAATTATCGCAATGGAAATCCAAGCAGCACCGCCATTGTTGCTATAGATCCCATGGATATGACAGAAAGCATGCAAGAGGCTATGCATAGGTCAAACTTGGACATGAGGTATACATGAGTATGTACTCGGCACTTAATTATCCTTTCCTTTTGCACTTTATCTTTTTCTCCATTCATTCTTTACCTTTTTTGGGCCACTTCTGCGTTCCGATTCCACCTGTCTTGGGCGTTTTCACCTCTAACTTCATTTACGGACCTGCAACGTGTCATTTATGAAGAGGAAAGGGCAGCATATGTTGAAGCCATCAGACAAAATATGATGTGGGACTTGAGTACCGCCACTTTCAAGCATTGTGTTTCTGTTACTGTTCACCTTGCGGCATTTATTTTGACTTTCCGCGCTTATTTTCCATCTAGGGATGGGAAAGCACATCCGCTTACTTTTATTCATCACACCTCAACGTATCAGGCTTCCATGTGCAAGTTAACAGAATACTGGCGAGAATCTATTACCTTTGATGCCCATTGATTTTGTGTCACTGTTGATTTGTACTGAATGCACATCTCTTTTTCGTTGGTTTTTTTTTTTTTGCAGTTTAAGCCCTGACATTAGAGTATTTCAGGATCGTGTGATAGAGAACGAGATTTGGGTAAATAACTAACCTACATTCAGATATTATGGGACAGTGAGGATCAGTCAACAGTCTTGCTGAAAAACCTCAAGTCTGCTCATGAATTTTGTTTGTTTCTCTCAATATTAACAGTTGAAAGGGAACTCTTTGAAGTCAAGTTTCAATAGCTTGTTATTGAGTGATCCGTTTTCGACCCCTCATTACACCATTTATGCTCCGAAAATGTCTTCTAATGTCTGTAGAGACTACTTGCCTTTCAAACAGATACTGAAGCTGGTGGATGAAGCAAAGAGTTTGGAGATGGAGGTCCAGAGAGGGCGTGATTCGAGTTCAGGTCACCGGGGAAGTGTATATGGTCAGAGAAGCGGGCCTAGTCCATCGGAGTCGAGCAATATAAGGAGCATCATCAGTAGCCCCGGCAGCCGAAGCAGGAAATGGCCCCAGTGAATTGCTAAGCTAGCCTAATCTTTAGTGCATTCTGCAAGGTGTCGTATCCGGGTGATGTATTTGCTTGCCCCGATTTGGTTTTGCAATCTTTTGAACCATCCGTGGGAAGTGTAAGATGTGAGGTTTGTTCGCGGTCCCTGTTCTTCATCTGTAAATCGCGTGGTCCATTTTGGTCGGCCATTATACATACATTAGCGAAAAGGCGGACTTTCCGCAGCCACATTGTAATTGTTTATCCGGCATCATTACTACATGCTAGACGTGCAGACATTCCAGACCTGGGGCAGCTGCAGATGAAAAGCTCGAACTAGGAAATTAGGAACAGTGGAATCTCTTGTAATCCTCATCATGAAAAGGAGCCTGATGGCCAGTGACATGAACCTTGAGCTGTGTGATGAATCTGTCGTTTGAGCTTTTGGTACATCCACGCAATTCACCAAACTATTTGTACTGTAATAACTTCATATAGACCTCCAAGACGACGGCTCTTAACCGGAGATGCCATGATACATATGGACTCGCAAAATAGGTCCATCGCGAGTAACCCTTAACTAGAGACTAGCGAGCTAAGGCCCAGAACTCGAGGGTTGCCTTTTCTGTATTGTGCAGGTTCGTAACTGCGCATCGAGATGCTAGATTCTCGGCAGCTTAAGCCCTGCCATTACTTAGGGCGAGAGAGAGAGAGAGAGAGAAAGAGAGAGAGATTCGGGCAACTGGACTACCTTATTGAGTGTGCCAGAGTTACTACTATGGCGCGATTCTAGCACGGCATTGCGATGCGCAATTGTCACTTATATTAAGCCTTTCGAAAGTTTGAGGAAGCTCGGGATTTGAAAATTGTCCGTTGGCGGCGCGTTAAGAATCATGCGACCTATGAATTAACACTAACAATTCGATCATTTGATCATTTTCAACACTAAAACAACCGTGACCATGATGTGTCTAAAGCAATCTTCCTGCTTTTCTCATTTGAGATATGAACACCCACACTTCATCCGTCGCCGAGTATTAAACCCCACAAGACCGAACTGTGTAATCATGAAGATAAACCTGCGTTGGTGCTAAAAATTAGAGAGAAAATCACATAGACCGCATGATATTGGGAAGAAAAGAAGATAAAAGAGAGAGACCCAAGATCAGTATTCCCATTTCATTTCACTGAACCACGATGATCATATTTGTGGTGTTTCCGCCGAGGCGAATGCCATGACATGAACACAACGGTTACTTGACAAGGAATCAAAGTAGCTGAGGAGACTGTCGATTTAAGTCAGAGACCTATAGCAAAACCCTAAAGAGAACCACCACCAAAACCTCCCTTTTTTTCCTAAGATGGTGTCCTAAGATGGTTGCCACAGAACCTCAACGATCACCTTATGCTGCACACGTGAAAATCGCGTACCAGATGACGACACGCGTGAAAATCGCGGACGTGACCGCGAAGCACACCAGGTTAATCCAAGTCAGGGTTGTCGAGCCAAACCCGACCTCCGCCAAGGAGGCCTCGTGATTAATGCAGTGCTCGAGCAGCATCTGCCGAGCCTCGTTCAGCTTTGCCCTGACGTGCTCCATCTCCGAGGAGTACCTCCGCAGGCGCCGCAGATCGCTGGAGAAGTAGGAGCAGTGGGCGGCGAAGAGGACGAGGGACAGCGACACGGGCATCCACACGAACTGGCAGATCATGTACCGCGACCTGGCGGCGGCGGCAGCGGACGCCATTTGGAACATGCAGAAGAGGTGGAGGGCAGTGATCTCTAAGGAGCGGACCGTGAGGCCGTCAATGCTGCAGGCGAGCTCCATTCTCCGCCCAAGCTGGTCGGCCCTCTTCCGAAGGGCTACGTGCAACATTGCCGAAGAGCGCTCTGCGCAGAACCGAGGGATCCAGAAGACGACGACGACGAAGGACGGTGACAACGGTGAGTGCTTTTTTTAGGGGGGAGAGAAAGCGGACTCTAAACATCCGACGGTCGGTGCTTCTCGCGCGGGTCTCCATCTAACGGCTCCGGATCAGTTGATCTGTGTGGGCAGGCCGGAGGGTGAAAATTTCACGAGAAACGCGGTAACAAACTTTGATTAACGATATCTTAAATTTTTCTTTTTTTTTTTGTGGTTTCTACTATATGTATTCACTCTTCTTGACCGTTTCCACCGGTTCAATCCAGTCTGGTCGGATCGCTTATTTCTGGTTCAAAAATTTGAAATCGAGAACTTGACCAATTCATGCGAGAACCATCCAGAATCAACCGGCTCGGTCCGATTTTCGAGTTGGATCGGAACCGATGCACACCCCTATTGTCGGTCACTGGTGGTCGGCACCTCCGATTGCCAATGCCACTGCCACTGCCATTAATTGCCGCCGGTTGAGGTCGCGGTTTGTTGGTCGTTCGCTGCTTTTCGTAGTTGATGAGAAGTATTCTTCAGGAAGGCCATAATTCTTTGTCATCCAAACGTTTGAATCGTCCTTATTCATGCGTTGGTGGGTCAGCAAGAGAACCATGATTAGTGGAGGAATCATAAATGCTTTCATCTAAAGACATGTTAGCCCGACAATCTTCTTCTCCAACCCAAATCTCAGGCCTCAACAATCCTTTGACAACAACGTGGACGGACGTCAGGAAACAGGAGAGAGAGCGATCAGGCGAGCTTGCATCCCAGACCACCGCAGTCACGTCCCGCCACCAACAGTGATCTTTTCCGGCACCTCCAACACCCCCACGGTTTAGAGAATAGATGAAGTCTTTGGCTTTTGTGAAGGTGGGTCTTGATTTGGATGGTTGGAGCTTTTCAGTGCTGACAAGCAGTTGAATCGGATGATTCTTCAAATTATTTTTCATTGTTCCTGTAATTGAATCCTTTTCTCTAGTCGATTGCACACGTCTTTCAGTTGAATGCCTTTGTTTCATTCCACAGAAATTGCAAACTGCTTGTACTTTTGCTAACTCTGCATACCATGAGGGAATTGCAACTGCAGATCAGAGCGTAGCGAATTAGGCGCTCTGCGACAATGGACAACATTCATAACATTCATAGAATCCTCGAGCAACGCGTATTAGGATTTCCTCGTGGCCGCGGCGAGTGTTCTTGAGGCATGTGAAGCATCCGGGGCCCAGGAAATTGTGACATCCTAAAAATTCGTCCATTTGGGGTTCATAAATACCGAGCTTTATAAATGTACTCGTAGTTAGTTCTTGCCAGGAACTGATCATTCCTGGGATACTAACCATTAGGGAAAGGCCAATTAGGGAATTAAAATTCGCGCGACTATTAGAAAATTCGATCGTGAATTTAATTTCGACCATGAAATCGCCGATGTGATATTTTGAGCCACTGTTGGCCGATCGAATGATAGTCAGGGATCAGTTCGCCACTGTCATAGTAGTGGATCGCGGGTGATTCCGCTGGATCACGAAACGAATTGACGAATGATCCTAAACCTATACCGAACGATCGTACCCCACGGATCTAGCGATTGATCCTCGCGATTTTAATGACAACCGAAATTTTCACGAACCGAATGGACTTGCACGTGACTCGATATATTATCAGTCATGAGTCGAATCCGCGAATTTCCCAAACGAGCCACCCGTTAGTTTGAGAAACGCTCGAGTCGCGTTTAATAAAATTTGATTATTTAATTTAGCCCAAATCGGACTCCGAAAAATTTGGAAGTCACAATGGGACGTTAGGACGACGTTGCAGTTGTAACATGCAATTTTTGTTGTGCCCGAATCCTTCAAAAAAACTTGATTTTGATGAGAAACGGAGAATCGGACCATTTTACCCTTGAGAATTAACAAAGGGCATGTTTTGTGGGCAAAGGGCATTTTGGTCATTTTGCCCTAACTTTTTTATTGGACAATTTTACCCTTTGACTTTTTGAGAAATTACAAGTATACCCTTGGATATTTTTGGCAAGATTCGATCTGGACCGTCGATTTCAAGATAAGATCGAATCGGGACCGTTAGATCAAAATTGCGAAAAAAGGGCATTTTGATAAATTGCCAAAAAGGGGTCAATTTCACTATTTAGGTCTAATTGACCAATTCTCTTTCTCCCCCAATTCTCTCTCTCCCCTTGCCGTGAAATTTCCCCCCCCCCCCCATTGCCGTGAGCTCTCCCCCCCCAACCGTACATCTCTCTCTCTTTGTTGTCGCCGCCGCGCCATCACCGCCGGCAGTCACGCCCGCCGGATCGCCGCCGCGCCACCGCCGAGCCTCACGCCCCCATCCCGCCATCCATCTCTCTCTCCCTTTCCCTTTCGGTCCTCCCTTTGGCCGTGAGCCTTGCCGGCCACCGCCCAAGCCGCACCGTCGCCGCCCAAGCCGATCGCCACCACCTGGGAGCCGTACGTCGTCACCGCCGTTCCCGATTAAGTGCCGCCACTTTCCGTTCTAGCCGCGATAGTCTAGAACGCGGGTAAGTCGCGCTCTAAACCCAACTTAGGACTTCGGGTATCAACGGGCGATTTTTTGGCGAAATATGTATAAAGTTAGGTGCGGAATTGCATGAATTAGGAGTGGAAATTTTGTGGCGGGCCTTAAGAATTAATTCGGGCAATATTTATTGGAAATTAGAGAATAACAGTGGCTGTGGTCTACTGTTCATGGGGCTGTGATGGGCCGATCGGGACGCAAGTTGGATTTTTAGAACCGAGAATTTATGGTGAAAAAGTCCCGTGAAGGACCGAAATTAATTTGACGTCGTTTGGTAGAAGAAAAATAATGATTTCGATATTAACGGACTAGTGTTCGGCAAATTTTGTGGTTTGTTTCATGGACGAATTTATCGAGTTCACCTTGGGTGAAATTATGGCTGGAATTATGATGGTTTGGGGGTTATTTAGAGAGTAAATACGGGCTGCCTACGAGAAGTATATATGCTGGAATTTGTGGTTCGGAATAATGTGTTTATGGCTTGATTTGTGGTGTATATGTGTCGGATTGTTGTGTGATGTCGTGGCTGAATTGTGAGGGTCCTTGTGACCGAAATTACTTGCGATTGTGATGGTTATATGTGTGTTTATGAGCTATGATCATTGGTGTGTTGGTTGAAAAATGTACGTGTCGATTTATGGATTAAATGAAGGAAATTTGGAATTGTTTGTGAAAGGTTGGGCTGAATTAATTTAGTTGAAATTTGGACATGTTTATGTGATATTTGAGCATGTGGGTGTGTATGAATTTACGTGGAGCGATGTGTGTGTGATCACTAAAAACCCTGAGACGTTTAACGTGGGGTCCAGATAAAATATAGTGTGTGGTATGCCCGTTTGATCACATAATCCCTGAGGCGTTTAACGCGGGGAATTGAACCCGTCCTGAGGCGTGTAACGCGGGACGATGCCCGGTATTACCGGAAGACTGCCAGCCTGAGGCGTGAACTTCTACACGGGTTGCGCAGTAGGTGGTAGATGTTGAGCCTGAGGCGTGTACGTTTACGCGAGCAAGAAACATGGCCTGAGGCATGTAAGTTTACGCGGGCCTGAAAGTGTTGTGAAAGAGGTTGCAGTGTACCTGAGACGTGTACGTGTACGCGGGTCACTGGCGAGGAATGTAGATGAGACATGATGAGAACGGAACGAGTGCATGACATGAGAACTGTGCATGCTTGTGATTGTATTGATGTGCCTGCTATGTGATTATGTGGTGTATGTATGTGATTGTGTTTTGTGAAATTGTCTGGAGGTACGTAATAGCCTAGGTGGGGTTTAGGGGCGAACTTACTGAGAAGTGTTCTCACGGTTGTTTCAACCGACAATTTCAGAACCCCGACCTGAGCCATGAATCCTCCACCACCGTCACCAGAGCGTTTTGGGGTACCCGTGCACACCGAGTTGGACATTGCAGAGTTTCCGATGGGCGATAACTTTACCTGGATTAAGCACACTTCCATAGTGTTTGTAGATGTAGTTCGGTGTGTACCTGCATATTTAGTGACTTGTAGTTTTTGGGGTACTTGCATATGTGGTGGCTTTGTAACTGTAAATATTATGGTCTAAGTTTGGCAATGGAAAATGAAAATATACATTCTCCCTATTCTCCCCAGTTTTATTTGTTAGGGATTAATTGTTAGTATCCGCTGTGGTTGTAAATCTCTGATGGTGATTTGGGGTCCGCGACATTCCTGAGACATCGCACAAATCGACCGGTGGCGGATGTCGCGTGCCCGTTGGGGTTCGGGGCGTGACAGAAATAGCCGCCGTCGACGCTGCCCTGGAGAACTTTCAACCAGCACTGCGAGTTGTGCCGGGTGTCATGTGATCACGCGGAGGAGTTCGTCAGTTAATTATAGGATCGGATCGAAGTGCCTGGTGGACGAGGCCACCGGCTCCGCGGTGGGGAAGCCTTGGCACTTACGAAGCTAACTAGCAAGCAATTGATCGAGCTAAGAATACAGGAAATATTTCGCATAAAAAAATGGCTTATTTACAAAGTTCAAAGAAGCCAGAATAAGGAGGGTTTTCAAGAAAGGGGTCGCTGCTCGAGTTACAACATAAGTTGGACAAATATAGGTAATCAAGAAAGGGGTCCGAATGATGTTATTCTTTTCCCGGAAAATATTGATCATCGATCCTAGAATCATACACTCGAGCTTGGGAGGTTTTGCATTGAATCAAGGATGGAGCATTCTTGTTTGCCCAATTCACATCAAAATGTGCCTCAACTCATTCTCATCACGGGCAGCGACTTTGGCACAAAAACTCATTATTTTAGAGGCAGTCGAGACTAACTTGGTGGTAGCGTTGGCTGATGTGCCCTGCTCGTATATAAGTAGTTCATTTTAGACACGACAAGAATTGTTAGCCCAACTAGAGGTGATCGGTTTTAGGATAGGTCAGTTCCTACCTCAAATCGAACCGGGACTGACTGACCGGTCCTATTCCTGAGTTGGTCTCACAACAAGCAATTCCTTTCCCCTTTTTTTTCTAAATATGTAATTATTCAAGATGCAATTTCCTAAATCTAGAACACCTAAGTAATCTACAAGTTGTTCTGTTAAAGATGCCCCTAATATGCAAAATCTAAAATGTAACAGATGTCTATGTGCCTTGAATGATTTTTTTTTCATGAAATATGACATACGTAAATTATGTGCAATGTAAACACGAAATTAATCGTGGCGTGGTCTAAGCGACTCGGTCTGATGACTCACAATGACACTTAGAGGCAATCTGGGAGCGGCGGTGGGATTCCGGCACTGTGGCGATGGCTCCGGCTCGACCATGGCATCATGTGAATTGCAACGACACTACTGGAACACAAAAAAGCAAAATCAAAAGACCAATACGGAACGCGAAATCAACGAGGTAAAGAAACAACCTGATTGTTGCGACCCCCTAATCTTGTTTGGAGAAGTCTGGAGAGGCATCACCATGGTCATGGTCTTGTGAAGACAAATCAAACATGCTGGACTGGCGACTCTGCTTGAAGAACACTCAGCTGAATGTGTTTGTTTTTCTTTCTCTTTAAAATTCGTCTGAGGAACGTGCTCCAAGTCACCAGCTTTTACTCAGCTAGATTCTGCTTTGAGAATTAGAGCACTTTCGACAAGTAAACCCGGGTGATGTTCAGCACTCACCCTCTATGGGATCGTGGTAGTGACAGGGCGGGTGACAGCGACGCGGCAACATTGAACATCATGTCGAGAGACATCGACGAAACAGAGGAATCTGATCCAGATGTGCAGAAGGAGGCAGCCGCACCATGACAACTCCAGTGGTGTCAGAGACGACCGGCAGCGCAATGGTACTGTGTGCGTTATTCAAAAGAGACGAGTGTGGGGCAGGTCAAAGGTTGTGTGGGTTTTCTTGCTGAAATATAAGTCGCGGACCAATGGAATAGCCTCTGAACTGCGCGTGCACGAACAGCCCACTCTCTGCGCGAGAGTCCGCCAAATCTGCAATTGAAACCCGATGCAGGGTGGCTCCCGAAAACTTATGGCGAGCAGGGGCTACACGGTCAACAGAATGAAGGATCGATGCATCTTGTGGAAGAGCTCTTCGCATTTGTTACTGAGCAGGATAACCTGAGCATGTTACCAGCAACTCAGCATGGACAAAATCACCAATTGCAAGGATCGTCCAGGGACTCCTCTGCATATTCTTGGGCGAGCTGACTCCCAGTGAGAATTGCTTGACTTTGAATCCTCCTCTTGATCGTATCAACAGGGTGCATCATTTGAAGAACTGGTGGTGATTTGCAGTGGCCAAATGTGGAGCTGTATGATGCATTCCGCTCTAACTTGTGTGTGGTAGGTACGACGAGATCAATAGCAATTTGCCGGCTGAAACTACTCTAACAGTTCGTTGCAAATATAAGAACAATGATCTCGGAATCTATGACATAACGCGCAGTTGGGATTCACATTCAAAACCAATATCTTTCGGGGGACACTGTTCTTTTGAAGCTTTGCATGGTAGGTCAATTTGAGTGGCTTAGTATACTTGAGCAAAGCAGGGATTGGCATGATTCCAACTCATGTATTTGGAGGATCTCGTCCAATGATAGGCTCAGTGATTGAGAGTTTGATGTTTGTTATCCATGAAATGGGAAGAAACCTCTTACGTGAAACTCGTGTCGCCGAGCCTCACATCAAACTCTCTGGAGTCATTGAGCCTACAAGGACCATTGGGCGTGATCCTCTAATGACACAAGTTGCAATCATGCGAGTCCCTGCTCTACTTATATATATTAAACCGATGCAAAACCGAAAAAGAATAACGCCCCCCAACGAAATTGGGTGTGAATGCGAATTCCCAGCTGTGCGTTATATCAAAATTTCTGATATCGTTGTTCATGGATTTGCAATGAACCATCAGAGTTGTTCCAGCCGACAAATTATTATTGATCTCAACATACGTCTTGCCCGTAGGACCTCCTACACAACTAGTTACGAATAAAGAACACATAAATATGAGCGTAGCTGAGGACTTCATCATTGTTGCGTCCGTCGCTCCGATGTCAACATCATTCACCTATTTGAGGATGGAGAATGGAGCAAATATCGGATCTCGCCAGCTTTGCCATGGCCATGTGGAAAAGGAGAAGGTGACCGTACCATGATTTGTCCAGCAATAACGGGTGTTTTTTAACCCCACATGCCCATAAACATCCACTAATATTCTTGGTTGATGACTAGGCGGCGGACTGTTTGGTTGATAATAGAAGGAGTTGTTTGTGTGGGGGCAAAAGTCCTAAAAACTTTCGGTCACATAGATATTAACAGGGTAAAATTTTTTACCCCATCACAAATTTATAGGAAAATTTATAATTAGTTAACATGAACCTTAGAATTTGATTACCCAATAACTAAATTTAAAAACTTTTATTAGAGTTCGACCGAAGAGATCATGGGCCTCCTCCTCGGCGACGTCGAGGTGAACTCTCCTGATTCAAGAGCCGCTCTTGTCTTCGTGCTTCCGCATTCTTTACTTGTCTCCCTTTCCTTTTCCCCGCAACCGATTCGCGTGTAGCAGAAATGGGTCGATGACGCGCGGTGCTGATTTCTGGTTGGACGATGAGCGAAGTGGAAATAGGATTCCGCGCGGTGTTGAGGTCGCTCTGTCTCAGAGGCGGTGGGTTTGCGGTGAATTGGCAACCTTGTTTGAGCTAGGTCGATGACGTTCGGATTTTGGGGTTCTGTCTTTTGCTATTTGGATGAATATTTTCGTGTCGCGTTTCGAGTAATAACTCTGTCTATGGATGCAGGGCAATAGGCGATTATCTGTGAAAACGTTCTTTTTTCTCCCCCATTTTCGCTCTCTCGTTAAGTTCCTACTTTGGAAGAATTGCTAGCTTGCAAGATTGTATGTCAGTTAGTGTGCTCACTTCAATGTTAGTTCATATTCGGATGAACTGGAAAACTGACGAATGAGGCCATATTCTGCTTCGACCGCCATAATTTCCTTTCAATCTAATTTTCATCTAGAATATCGTGGCTTTCTTTTCTTTATCTCGGCAGTCGTGTGGGATTACATGCATTGCTGGAGGCTGGAGTTAAGGTGTTCGTACCTAAACTCGGTTGTGAAGGCAAAAGTAAAAAAAAATAAAAGAAAAGCCCAAACTTGTATATGCAGTGAGATGTTTTGATATTGTCAAGAATATCTCTGTTTAGAAGAAGTTAATGAGACCTTGTGTGTCATTCTGAAAAGTGCTTGGCATCAAGTGCACGAGGGACAACGCATCAACTCTTTGGCTGTGGGAAATGCTATTGAATAGTATATCATGGAATTGAGGTCAGTTAAGTCATGAGAATAGCGAACTTATTGGTAATTTGACCTCTTATACGAAGCAGACCTGTGCGAACTGGTTCCTTTTGGGGGCTCGGGATGCATTTTGATAATGATACTCCTATTGCACTTTACAAGAAAAAAAGATTGAAGACATAATAACAGATGACTCATATTGCAGCACCAGAACATTTTCCTTTAGCTTTTGTAGTTCTGCGATGGATTAGTGTGTAGACGACATGCAAAATCGGCACTTAGTTGGGTCTAAATATCAGATTGACCTGTTCATTCCTGGAAGGGGGCTTAGTTGCTTGAAGGTGTCAATGTCTATACATTTTTTACTCATTGTTTAGCCTCATCTATTCCTTGTTTTCTTTGGTTGGTTTCTGTGGTCAAATTGACATTCGGTCGACCTGGAATAACGCTCGGTAATTCTCTGTTATTTGGAGATCCTTATCATTTTCATTTTTGGCCCCGGGATTTGAAGGTGACAACATGTGGTCAGCCACGGTCAGCTAACTGTAGTTAAGTGAAGCCTCTTACGTAGGTCGGGTTGCCATGGATTCATTGGGGGATAAATGGGGTTCTCGATTTTATTTTATTTTATTTATTTTCAAAACTCGTAAAGCAGCTATAACTGAGTGTTGCACTGAAATTTAGATATATCTAGGAGAACCGGTCGTTTATCTCCTTGCTTTGGTGCAAGAATAGACCATATTTAGCTGATCTACAGCTTAGAATGAAATTCCATGTGCATTCTTCTTACCATTCCATATTCTTTTGGTTTTACTAGAATTATTATGATAGTTTGTTTCTTATGTTGCAGCACTCAAAAAAGGAGACTCTCACAGCACTAATTTGGGGTGCATCGCCTCAAAAAACGATATGACCGGCAAAAAGATCGTGTTGAGACAAATCCCAAACAGTTGGCTGCTGCATCGGCGCTGGCTGAAATATTCTTTCTGTTTCCTTACTCGCTCATCAACCCCTTTAAAGCCTTCATCTCTTGAGCTCAACATTAATTTGCCTATATAGATTTCATATTCTGTAATGAACAAAAATTGCATGAGTTTCTTCATCAGTCTTCTTGTTTTAGCAGGTCATAAGATGTATCATGATGTTTTTTTTCTGTTGTTGTTTTTGGCAACATTTTTGTGACTTTTATGGCTAGATTGTAAAAAGATTTGAGACGGTACGTGTTTCTGATGGTTAAATTTGTTGATTTGATTCCATCTGGGGGAGCTTTTGCTCTCAACTTACTAAAAATATCAATACCCTATATAAATCACATAATCGGAACAATGGGGATGTATGCAAGTCTACCAAAGGAGGAAGTCTAACGTGGCAATTTTTTTATCAACATAGTTTGCTTTCGACAAGCTGAATCTGCTGTAGTTGATTCTAATTAAAAGGACCAAAAACTGTTTCTTGCACATTATGCTATGGTAATTTAAAATATACAAATTTAATTATTACTCGCTATCGCACATTGCTAGCTGCTTGTTTGGATCTTGCCAATCATGTTCTTGGTTAACTAGACTAGACAGCACGAGATGACCATGTCAACAGGAAGAACAACAAGAGTAATTGGATGGTACCATTCGCACCCACATATAACGGTTCTACCGTCCCATGTTGGTAAGCATTGCGAATCGCTACTTTTTGTGGAGTAAATTAATAATGAAATGCACATCAAGCATGAGATATTATTTCTATTAGGACAAAGCATTGGCACCTCTCTATATTGCTGCACCAGGGCCTCACCATGTTTCACTAGTTTATGATTTACTTTACTTGATTCGGGAATTGAATGAGGCCGTTTTCATTCAAACTTGATAGCGTTTTCTCAGGTTCTTTCCAAAGATGGTTTTTGAGTGCTACTTTGTGCAGATGTACGGACACATGCAATGTATCAACTCCTAGATTATGGATTCATTGGGTTGATATTTTCCTGCTTTAGCGAGGATATTAACAAGGTATGTGGACTCTTTGAGTTTCCCTCAACACGTTTTGCAGCTTTCAAATCGGTTAAACAGTTCATTTGATAAATAGGCTGTGGATAGTTTAAAGCAATTTGACTGCAATGTTATGGGTTTTCAGGTTGGGAGAATTCAAGTCATAGCTTTCCAATCTTCAGATGGGAAGCAAAACCAGATATCAAGACCTATCCCTCTATCTCCGGTTAATAGAAGTTCGGTCATAGACTTGGAATCATCTTTGAGTTCCTCCGAGAATTTGTTGGCACGATCTAACTCTGGAAGGGGGGAGAACCCCGAAGTGGACACTGGCGATTCCAGAATCTCTGCTGGAGCTAATAAGGTGGGTTATAATTTAACGTAAAGCCAACAGGATTGGAGTCAAGGAACTGTAAGGCAGTCACCTCATTAGATTGTGGTCTATCAATTATTCTATCTAATGGTAGTTTATGGTAACATAGCTTGATGAATGATATTTCGTATGAACTTCTAGGGGCGGGGAAGGTCATCGGACTTGGGGGGTTTCTTTGCTGACGCTGATACCAATTATCTCGGAAGAGAGATAATTGGTGAAAATTATCGCAATGGAAATCCAAGCAGCACCGCCATTGTTGCTATAGATCCCATGGATATGACAGAAAGCATGCAAGAGGCTATGCATAGGTCAAACTGACATGAGGTATACATGAGTATGTACTCGGCACTTAATTATCCTTTCCTTTTGCACTTTATCTTTTTCTCCATTCATTCTTTACCTTTTTTGGGCCACTTCTGCGTTCCGATTCCAGCTGTCTTGGGCGTTTTCGCCTCTAACTTCATTTACGGACCTGCAACGTGTCATTTATGAAGAGGAAAGGGCAGCATATGTTGAAGCCATCAGACAAAATATGATGTGGGACTTGAGTACCGCCACTTTCAAGCATTGTGTTTCTGTTACTGTTCACCTTGCGGCATTTATTTTGACTTTCCGCGCTTATTTTCCATCTAGGGATGGGAAAGCACATCCGCTTACTTTTATTCATCACACCTCAACGTATCAGGCTTCCATGTGCAAGTTAACAGAATACTGGCGAGAATCTATTACCTTTGATGCCCATTGATTTTGTGTCACTGTTGATTTGTACTGAATGCACATCTCTTTTTCGTTGGTTTTTTTTTTTTTTTGCAGTTTAAGCCCTGACATTAGAGTATTTCAGGATCGTGTGAGAGAGAACGAGATTTGGGTAAATAACTAACCTACATTCAGATATTATGGGACAGTGAGGATCAGTCAACAGTCTTGCTGAAAAACCTCAAGTCTGCTCATGAATTTTGTTTGTTTCTCTCAATATTAACAGTTGAAAGGGAACTCTTTGAAGTCAAGTTTCAATAGCTTGTTATTGAGTGATCCGTTTTCGACCCCTCATTACACCATTTATGCTCCGAAAATGTCTTCTAATGTCTGTAGAGACTACTTGCCTTTCAAACAGATACTGAAGCTGGTGGATGAAGCAAAGAGTTTGGAGATGGAGGTCCAGAGAGGGCGTGATTC